CTGCTGTGTGGCTCAGCGATGCCCCTCCCAGGAATACACCCTGAGAAAGGAAGACACACTTGTACACAAACACTTGAAAGCTCATAGCAGTGTTATCCACAATAGCCACAGGTGGAAACAGCCCAGATGTCCATCAGCAGAGGACTGGGTAATGAAATGCTCTTTATCCATCCATGAGATATTACCCAGCAGGCATCAGAGGGAAGCACCGACTCACCTTGTTCAGGATGAACCTTGAAAGCACGATGCTAAATGAAGGAAGCCTGTCACAAACCTCTGCGGGGGTTGTGCCGGATCTGCTCTACTTGGAGCGCTAAGCAGGAGATGTGGTTTTGTGTCCAGTGTTGCCCAATTCCATTTGCATGGAATGTCCAGAGGGGGCAACTCCGGGGAGACAGAAAGTGGATCCGTGGTTGCCAGGGCCTGGAGGGAGGAGGAATTGGCCCGTGACAACTAAGGGTGCAGGTTTCCTCTCGGGGGAGGGGATACAGACATTTTAATATTGACAGTGATGGTGGTGGCTGCAAAACTTGGCAAATATACTAAAGACCATTGAGTTGTACATGTTAAGTGCGTGAATTGTAGGAAGTGGATTGAACCTCGATAAAGCTGTCAACGACAATCAGAACCAAATCTCTGATTTTCTGTGAGGTAGCTTCACTCCTCAGGTCCCCCGTGTCCTGCCTGCAAAATGGGTCTGTTCCCAAAATGCACATTCTACCATATTCCCTGCAGTGCTTAGTAAGGCTGTTTCTCCACCTCCCAAAGGGAAGCAGGGATCCCTAGTCTAGCCCCCATACTCAGGGCTGTCTTAGGAATCCATGGTAAAGTACAATAAGAAAGGGTCACAAAACCACATCCCCTGCTTAGCCTTCCAAGTAGAGTAGATCTCCCACAACCCCCAGCAGAGGTTGGAATCCGGCGCCCCCTGCCGACAGGACCATGGCATTGCGCTCTCCCTGAACCACTTCAGAACCTGTGCCTGCACAGAATGCAAGCACTCAGGTCCGCCTCTTAGGGGTGTGACCTCCTCTGGCAGGTCTGACTTTGGCCAAACCTCCTTCTAGGCAGGCATGCAGAGAGTGGGACCATGTGACTTTGTTCTGGCTTGCTGCCCTAGGCAGCAGCCTAAAAATTGTCCTGGGCAATCGCTGCTGGGAGAACCTGGAATCAGAACAGAGGGACTTGGTGCCATGTTACAACTGATCGTAAAGAACCTTCTGAATGGGGTGAGGAGAGAGCCTGGTGTTGGGAATCTGAAAATGGGACCCTTTAAGCCCTTTATCCCCACCTAGTACCGAACCCAGCCCCTGGTAGACTCCTAGTGAAATCGTGCCTGATTAGTGAGTGAAGAAACAGGTGGATGGTTGTGGTGATGTTTCCAGCTGCGGTGTACCCAAGTGGGTGGTTGTTCCTGTTTCCTTGTCGTTTTTCTTGGATAGAGAGCACCCACACCACCAGTGTGGCCAGGAAAGCATGTCCCAAATGAGAAGCAAAGTCTTTTTCTGCATCCTATTCTCCGTCTCTCTGAGA